TAGCTCCGTACGCACATGCATATATGTATGTATATGCACATAACAATACTACTAGAAAACAAAGTATCAGTGATGAAAAAAAATTCCCTCGTTGATGAACGAGGGAATTGGCCAAAATACAATAATCCTAATTAATTAAGAGTCCAATCTCTAATACCTTGTGGCATATGGGGATTCCCATATTAGGTATAATTAGTTCCTCTTATGGTTATATATATGTATATATATGTATTATGTATAATTACTTACAAATTACTTGTATGCACATGTACATATCGTCCACGTGAATGGTTACAAGGGTGTTACTTAGTTTTTTCATTTTCTTTTACGGTTTTCTGTGAATTAATGGAAGGAAGGTAGGTAGGTTTTGATGAAAGGCATGCATGTATAAATGTGTAAAAAGGCAGAAGAAATGAATGTGGTAGCATAAGATTGAAGGTATCAGATCCAATCCCAAAAAGGAAGACATGATCTGTGTGTAACAGGATGAGTAGACCATTCTTTTTCAAACAAACAAACACCCGATGCAATATCAATATCAATATCAATATGCTCTCTCTCTCTCTTTCTCCATCCATCATCCAATCCCTAATCACTTCATTAATTATCACCCTAATCCAAACCTTAAATTAATTATTCCAATCTACTTCATTCATTCATTCATTCTCCCACTGCACTATCCATCAACTCTTTAATTTTAAGCTTAATTTCTTCTCCAACAATATATATATATATATATATAGAGAGAGAGAGAGAGAGTCAAATTGAGATGTTTATGGACAGGGCCGGCCCTGGCGACGTGCAGGCCGTGCGGCCGCACAGGGCATCAAAGCTTAAAGGGGCATCAAATAGTCATTTATTACTAGTTTTGAGTTTAATAATTTGGGAATTGAACAACTGAGTTTAATAAAAACAGACCCAAGACCTAGTAATGATGCATATTGAATGGACATCGTAGGAAAAAGTTTGAAAGTTGGAAAAGTTTTTGTTTGGAAGAGTTTTTTCGCAGATGCAAGGAGTTTTTTTATTAGTTGAAATGGATATGTTTGGAAAAAAAACCTTGGCTTTCTATATAAAGCTCCCCCTAGAAACTTAGTAACTTACTAGATAAGTCACTTTCTATATCATTAAGTCACTATGAAACAGTCATGCATAGTTGAGCGAATAAGTTGTTAGTTCCATTAAACTTATTAAGCTGCTAACAGATAGACTCTTAACCTTTAGTCGTTAGACCTGTAACCTTTTAGTTTTACTTTTTGCTTACTATAACAGTAATTTGGATGTAATTTACTATTTTAGTTAAAAACTAATTATAGTTTTCTTTGTCTTTTAAGTCCCATATATTGAAATAAAGTTTCAATTTTGCTAATTTCAATTTGGAAAAAGGAAAACTGGAAAAGAAGGAAGCATGATCTTAATCCAGGATTTATCCTCTTATATTTTGTATTCAGGGTTTTGGTTTTTTATGTCCCTCCCATTGTATTTTTTTATTATAATTAATAAAAAATCAACATGAAGATGAGATACTTAGCTTGAATAGGTTCTAAACTCTTCAAAAAATCGCAGGTTTCGTTGTTTGATTGGCTTAAAAAATTGGGCTTAGGGGCATTTTTTTTATTAATTTCGCACAGGGCATCAAAAATCTTAGGACCGGCTATGTTTATGGAAATGATGAAAGTTCATTTATTATGATTTGAATATTTATGGAAGATGAAAGAGTTCATTAATTGTAATCAATACTTTATATTAGAAAACAATCAAAACTTCTATGAAATGACATATTCATCAAATTAAATGGACGGTTGATATTGAGTTGTATTGGTTGTACAAATGTAAAAGATTGTATAATAACACACTCATCTCTCTCTCTCACTATATATATATAGAGAGAGAGAGAGAGAGATCTAGAGAGAGAGAGGGAAAGATATGAATGAATATTTGTGGGATTGATTGATTGGTAGAAAGTAGTGTATTAATATACATGAAGGTCGGAGGATATAATATCGGATTAATAATAATTAATTAATTGATTGAAATTAATTAATCAATTAATCTCATGAGTCTGGGATAATATTGATACATGGTGAATACAATAAACTCGCCATTGCTTGTTGTAGCCACTCATCCTCTTCATCATAATCTTGCTTCATCTGCATGCATTTTCACCCATTATTTTTAATCAACAACTACATCAAAGCAAAAAAAACCTTGGAGTAACATATACATATATATATATATATATATATGCAGATATTGCTTCTACTGTAAATAATAGAAGAAAGACTATTTTCATAAAGACCCTTGATTACCAAACCAAACATCTCCAATATATCCTATTGGGATATGGATACGAAGAGGGTAAGATGTATACAGATCTAAAACTTGCCCAAAGAGTAGAACGACTGTTTCGTGAAAACCCTAATTAAGTTTCTTAAATCAATCGAGAAATCAATAGCAAATGGTATTCTTGATTGATTATATATAACTATAAGTAAACCAATTAACCAAACGGTCTTTGGCCTAGCGGTATATGAGTCTTTCGCCTCCTACGAGGTCATGGGTTCAAACCTCACAAAAGGTGAGGAAGGTGTGTATGTTTGTTTGTGCTATTTACCGTATATAAATACTTCAAAAAAAATTAAAAAATAAACCAATTATATAAATAATATATATATATATATATACCAGAAAATTGTTGGTGTATAGTTGTTGAATATCTTCATCAGAAGAAGGATTATTATTAGCAGTAGTGATGATGGGAAGCACTTGATCCTGATCACAAGGTTGATGATGATCGTTGTTGTTCTTGGCAAACCTCCCTCTCACTCGTATTCGCTTGTCGGCTAACGTCTTCCGGCATTCATACTACATACATATATACAATTCATTTTGATTTAATCAGTTTATAGGACGTCAAATATGTCAAATGTCATATAAGAAACTGGACTTAAGTTTATAGGATCAAACAATTGTGCATGTCCTATATAAAGGTATCTAATTACAATCAGATGTTATCTGGGTATCTAAACTAGTTTTTTACGACACTGTATTTGTTCTAGGGTTTTCAAGAAAATGGATCAAAGGCAAACCTTAATTGTCTTGTTGAAGTTCCTTTGGTTTCTTTTCTTGAGATACCTCATGATCTTATCCTTCCTTTCTTCCATTGAATACCTCCCGACCTTCAATGTCGGTTCTTCGATCTCTTTACTCGTTTTCTGGCTTTCGATTTCCTGCACAAATTAATAAAGACACCAATTAAAAACGATAAGAATTATATATATATATATATATATATAGTTAAGAGTTAGTGCTTCTTTGTTATTAGCTTAATGAATACTCACAAGTTATTTAGTTAGTTATACATGATTGTTTAGTAGTGGCTTAATGATATTACAAGTGACTTACTCGATAACGTGATCTAGGTAGAAACTTTTTATGCAGAAAGTCAAGTTTTTTTAAAACTTGTACCCCTCCTAATTAAAAAAACACGCTTATTTCATCTATTGGGAAAACCCAAACAAAAACCTTCAAAATCTATACAAACAGATTAATCCACATATAAAACTTTATCATACAAGACTTGGGGGTTTTTTCAATTCATAGTTGTATGTAAAGAACATGTTTTTTAATACCCTGACCCTGTCTTGTTCATACAAGACACCAATTGGGTTTTTTCTTAGTTGAAAGGAACATGTTTTTTTAACTGGAGTGACAGGTTTGGAAAAAACTTAGGCTTTCTGCATAAAGCTCCTCCTTAGAAGCTTATTAAGCCGCTAACAAAGAGGCCTGAATAAGCCACTTTCTCTATATCCAAGCTTATTAAGCTAGTTCCAAACCAAAGAAACCCTTAATTATTTTGCATGTAATTGAAGCCATGCAAGATCCAAATTAGCAAAAAGATGAAATAAAAACCTAAAGAAATCTACATACCCAATTGGTGGTTGCAGTGGGATAACTAGAAGATGATGACCATGAATTGCTGCCATAGCTACCACTGCTACAAAAATACTCATCTTGTTCAACCTTCTGATGATCGGTCCCGGCCGGAATATTGCCGCCAAACCCCGTCGGTGACGTCGGAACCACCATCTCGGAAACCCCAAATCTCTCCGGGAATGAAGTCGTTGTCTTCCATGACGACGATCGAGATAATGGTGTAGTGATGTCATTTTCCGGTGGGATTATCGTTATCCCGTAGTTATCGAAGAAACCAGGTGAAGTAGTTTCGACATCATACCACATTGGTAGGGCGGTTCCCGGAGTTTGAAAGTCGCCGGAAAAGTTATGAACCTTAGAAATGAAGGCCATCAATATTCCAGTGTCGATGTAATTTGCCTACCGATGACACTCAAATAGAATTATAATGATGCATGGGGAGGGAATTGTGTATTTATAGGGAAGGCATCAAAGGAAACGACATCCTGCGGCTTTCAAGCAAGTTGTAAGGGACCCATTTTTGTACAAATTTCGTGACTAAATATTCCTCCAAATTAACGCATCTCACCTTTTACTGTCCATCTCAGTGAGTTACATTGATGGTCCCTCTGGTTTTTTTAAATTTACGATTTGGTCCCTAAAACAAATTATGTATATTAACAGTCCTTAAACTTTTCAGTTGTTAAAATCCCTGAAATTAACACCTTCAGTTAGAAACCGTTAAAATGAATAAATCAGTCTTTGGACAAAGAACAAGGACCAAATATATAATTAATTGTTACTTATTCACATATTTTTTAAATAAATTAAAAATATTTTAAATACAGTTAACAAAATAAAATATTTTGACTATTATATCAATATAAATTATTTGATAATTCAATTTAATATCGTCTTGCTTATTTTAACTTTTAAAACCTCTTATTTTTTCATACCAAATAAATTGTTTATCTTAACGAACAAGTTTTAATATATAAACAGACTTGGAATCATGTGAGACAAGACTGTTTTCGTGAAACACGATTTTTACACTTGAAACTTCACAGCAAAACACTGTGAAGATTTGACATTTTTTTTACTTTCACAATATTTTGTCGACTTGAAATTTGATTTTGTAAATGGGTTATTTAGTTTTTGGAGTATTGGAAATGGTTTATTTTGTAAGAAAATGATTCTAAATATATATTCATTAAGCAAGTTATTTCAACACCCTATCGAGTCTAAAAGGTAGGCCTATTAGGGAATTAGGATGTGGAGGAATCGATGATCGGGACTTGTTTTGGTATTCTTTGTCTTTTGTAAAATAGAGTCATATTAATACGAGATAAGAAGAAGATATATATATATATATATATATATATATATATATATATATATATATATATATATATATATAGATGTTGGTTATTATACAACCCATAACATTTGTGCAATAAATACAACCCAATCTTAATCGTCCATTTCATTTGATTAATATGTGATTTCATAGAAGTTTTGATTGTTTTCTAATATAAAGTATTGATCATAATTAATGAACCATATTCATCTTTCATAAATATTCAAATCATAATAAATGAACTCTCATCATTTCCATAAATATCTCAATTTATTGGGTTGCATTGGTTGTACAAATGCAACAGGTTGTATTTGAAACAAACTTTATATATATATATATATATATATAGAGAGAGAGAGAGAGAGAGATAGATAGATTGATAGATAGATAGAGAGAGGTGAGTTAGTATGCAATTTTTTACATTTGTACAATTCAATTTAATTAACCGTCCATTTAATTTGATGAACATGTGATTTCATAAAAGTTATATATATATATATCAATCAGTAATTTATTACATTCAAGTGATATGATCAAAATATTTTTTTGGACTAATAAGGTTATGATTTTATCCTCAGTTAAAAAACAGATAATATGTACGAGTGTCAAATTAAAGCGACTTTTTTTTGGTTAATTTGTTCAGTTTTAAAAAAAAAGAGCGTAATTGTTTTTTAATTTTAAAAATAATCTTTGATTGCATATATAATACGCACAACACATTACGTATATGATTACAAACTAATATCATGAATTTGTATATGACCAAATGTGGTTTTATGCTTGTGATCATGTATACATAGGATCACATATATAGACACATGCAATATCACTTGTGATGATGTATACAATGTGATTCTATATAACATCAGAATTCGTTCTATGTATAATCACATGTGATATATATATANGATATATATATATATATATATATATATATATATATATATATATATATATAATACACAATCATATGTCATTATATATAGGGTCAAAAGTTATTTCTATGTATAATTACATATATTCATGTATAAGATACATACAAAAAGAATGTCATATTTGTACACAAGAACACTACATTGTATAAATGACTGAAAGTGATTTTATGTATAAGCATCAAATGTGATCATATATATCAATACTATGATCATGTACAAAGTTATCATATTACAATAGTCTATAATAAAATTATAAACGTTTGACAAATGGTCATTTACCAAACGCTTATTCGGGCAAGTGAACACTAAGTCACATTACCTTACCGAATGAATATGGTAAGGACCAAGAATCTTACCTGGTAAGACTTAAGAGTAAGACAAGAAACAGGAGTCTTACACGGTAAATGAGGACGAGGACTTTTACCACAGTAAGCGCTTACCGGATAAATTGTTGCATACTATACCGTTTTGTTGGACTAAAATCTTACCCGGTAAGTAAATGATAGTGTTAAATTTTACCCGTAAACACTCCCCTAAGTGAAAGAATAACATTTGAATCAAGTCGATAGTTAAAAGAGTTCATAATTAATGTCTTTTTTTTTCAAATCAGATTTGATTCTTGATGTAAGGTATAACTATATTGATTAAGTGTATCTATTAGGGAAAGGATCATTGACATCGAAATGATGTATAAAATGTGATTTTCATATATATCATATTTTTGAATATTTGTGAAGTATCTTGTAAGTGTAAAAGAAAGTGATTTTATGTGTAATTTGCATGCTTCAATTCAAAAACTAGTAAAAGAATGTTAAATAGATTATTTAAAATAAAGAAAATTGACATTTCTAATGCTTTTAATCTTTTCTTAATTTAATAGATCATCCAAAACTTCTTTTCAAATGAAGTAAATGAAAAAGATATGATAAAAATCATCAAATTTAAACCACAAGAATGATGTCTGATTGGTTTGAACTTGGGCTCCAAAGGTCAAAAGTGTCTGGAGATTCCGTGTTCAAATCCAAGGAGAAATAAAAATCCCTTTGTGACCATGCAGATTCAAATACGGTGACTTCAGACTACCCGCAAAGCAGGTAGTTGTTCAAAGAGAAAGATATGTATGATCATTTTATATGAAGTTTATGTGAAAGTTCCTTGAGATATTAATTTTATTAAATATTTTAATAATGTAATGTATGTTGAATTCTCTAAAATATAAAAATTGTTGGAGATAAATATGATTTTTTGTTTAGATTGTTTTCCCATTTTAAAATCCATTTGAAAATGTCCTAAATTATAGTATCGAAACGGGTCAAAACAACATAGGACATTGGACAAATGATAAGAAAACGTACAAGGAATATACATCAAGACCCGTAAACGAGAAAAACGTTAGTTCGCTTGTAATCCTATAATAATGGCTAATGCAGGGTACGAAGATTTGTTGAGGCCCCTCTCTAGTCTTCTACAGCAATCTTTGAGGTAACATTGATCTCGTTGGTTCGTATATTATGCGTCTCATAAATCCTTTTTGAACCTCCGTTGTCACAAGAAGATGTTTATTCCTCCTTGAGCATGAACTTGAACTTGAGACTTTCCAAACACGTTTAACCTTTGGAGTCTAATTTCAAACCAATCAGACACCACCCTTGTGATTGATGGTTTATACTTCAATTCGTAAGTAATCAAAACTAGAGATGCAAAAGGTTCAAAACCTGAACCCAAGCCTTCCAATTCCGTTTTCAGTCGCTAAAATAGACGCAGGCTACTTTATGCTTTTTCAATTCAAACTCGGGCTTAAACCCAAAATTTCAACCCAATCAGACTCGGATTTTCGTGTAGATCTCTAACCGAAACAAATTCATAGCTTTAATTAATATTTCTCGTTCACTTTTGTTAGGAGTGACATCTTTTTGTGTGTTTTCCTTTTCGTACAAATAAACTACACAGGTTTTAAGTCAACCATAACAAGAAAAATGGAACCATAAAAAAGGAAGTAATAATTAGACGTAAGAAAACAATAATAATTATACAAAAATAGAATGGATTTAATGAAATAAATGAATAAAGATGCAGCGACTGTGAGCCACACGCACCCACCTTCTAGTTGAAAAGATATCTGACCTACTTCCCTAGACCTAGAATCTAGCACGTGCCCAATCCCTCGTTTTCTTTTTCTTTTTTTGAATTTTTATAATTAAAATATATATAATATTTCTTTCAATTTTAATCATTTTTTAAATAAAATAAATCCATAAATGGCTACTGTTATCGAGTTCAGAGTATGAAACAACTCTTGTCACTTAAGTTATGCCTTTATCCTGACTGCTTTACATATATGTATACAGCATGCAAAGGAAGACCGATCGATCGATCGGTAGAAAAGAAAGAAAAAAAAAGAAAAGAAAAAAGTATCGGGTGCCTATGTCTTTGCAAACCCGTCGCCATCTCCCCGAATCAAACCTTGCCCTTTCTATATCACCAGTGATCTCTACCAAGTAACATGCATACTTGATATTTATGTAACAAATGAACCCAACGCGTTTGGTGTGTAGCTCATTTGACCAAAAAATAGGACGACTTTGCTTAATACAAAATTGAACTTAGGTTCGACCCCCTCCCCCCGCCTAACCTCAGTCGCTGAGTGGGTCAAAAGAATGCCCCCTCACGTTGGTATTGTAGGTCATGGATAATAAGTCTAAAGGTTATGATGACATCAATATTGATGATATTGGAGAGATGGCCAAAAACCGGTCCCGGGCCGGTCCCAATCGGTCCTCACCTTTTTCATAACCGGTCATAACCGGTCCCGGCATAACCAGTCCCGGTCTCGGCCCCGGTCCCGGTCGAAAATGATAGGACCGGTATAGGTACTTCATAACCGGTTATGAGCCGCCGGTCCCGGTCCCGGTCCCGGTCCCGGTCCCAACCGGTCCTTGCATTAAAAAAATAAGATTTTTTTTTATTTTTTTAATGATATATATTTTTAATACATTATAAAATTTACAATTGGGTCACTCAAATACACTTTAAAAATGCGTTTTAATATAATTAAAATTACGTTTTCTTATRAAAATACATTATAAAATTATTTAAAAATA